ACCATGGCGCCCGTCGCTCCTCGACCCCGCCCACGAGAAGGACATGGTGGGCGTGCGGGGCGGCATCATCACCGGCGACGCGCCTCACCCCACCACCCGGGGCTCATTGACCTGACCCCCGGCCACCCCCCGTCTTCCGACCCCGCCCGCCCTGGCTGACGCCCCCCTCGCCGCGCCCCCTGGGATCCCGAGGGGGGGCGCGGCGGGGCGTGGGAGGCCTCGGTGGAGGACCTGGTGGGCGACGGGAACGTCCTCCTCAAGCACAGGAAGGACCCCGCGCGCCCCAGCCGGTCCACCGTCACCTTCAAGCCCTCCGCGCCCGTGCAGGTCTTCTGCTACGCCCGCAACCGCGTCGGCCGAACGCGCGTTCCCTGCAGCTACACGCTCACCCTCGTCGGTAAGTCCTGCAAGGTGTCCAGGCTTCACTCAGTCCTATCGCCTATTCGTAAACAAGAAGTCTTCGCCATTACAAAAATTCAAGCATTAAAGCTTTACCAAAGAGAATCTACGTAATTTATTTCCTTTTTGCTCTCCTCTTCTCTCTCCTTCCTCTTCCTTCGACACTTATATTAGTAAACAAGGTCTTCATTATCACAAAAATAAGCATAAAAGCCTTAGCAAAGATAATCTACATAATCCCTCTCCTTTTTGGTCTCAAGCTCTCTTTTCTCCTCCCTCCACACTTAAACTATCATTCATGTTTTTTTTCCTAATAGACACAGTTTTCCTTTTCCTTCCAAAATTCTGATTTATCACTTTCTTCTCACGGTGAAAGTAGAAATGGTTAATTATGCCGAAATCATTAATTAACAGTCTGAGGAACCTGCTTAATCTGCATATATTCCCTTCCTATCGGAATAGCTGATTGGCGAATCTTATTACATTTAATAGAATCGGCAGAATTATGATATGTATGCTTTATGGTACTCATGAAGAATTTTTTCATTCATCAGGTTGTACCAATTATTAGAATAATTCTGGCACTACATGTTGGTATATGAAAAGGGTTAACGTTTTTTTTATATTATTATTGAGATAGGTGTGTTAAACTTTCTCTCTCTCTCTATCTATCTTTTCTCTCTATCATCTCTCTCTCTCTCTCTCTCTCTCTCTCTCTCTCTCTCTCTCTTCTCTCTCTCTCTCTCTCTCTAATCTAATCTATCTATCTATCTATCTATCTCTCTCTCCCTCGTCCCTCCCTATCTCTCTCTCTCTCTCTCTCTCTCTCTCTCTCTCTCTCTCTCTCTCTCTCTCTCTCTCTCTCTCTCTCTCTCTCTTCTCTCTCTCTCTCTCTCTTCTCTCTCTCTCTCTCTCTCTCTCTCTCTCTCCCTCCCTCCTTATCCCTCCCTCCCTCCCTCCCCCTCCCTCCCTCCCCCCTCCTCCTTCTCCCCCCTCTTACTCTTCCCTAGACTCGCATCCGTACCCGCTCAATACCTCTCACCTCCTCCTCCTCTTCCTCCTCCTGCAGATCCTCCACAACCGCTGAAGAAGTGCAACGTCACCCTGGCAGCCCAGACGCGACTCGAGGTCAGATGCGAGGAGGACACGAAGGCTCCTGAAGGGACGAAGCAGCGGCAGGACACGCCCCAGGTCCATCACTCCCCGGGGATAAGTTTTGTCAGGTCGTCCGAGGTCAGGACGAGCGCTAACCTCGAGGCAAGTTTGGGCTGTTGTTTCGTCTGTAGTTTGGGTTGAATGGGAGGGGGAGGCGAAGAGGAGAAGGGTAGGAAGGAGAGGAGGAGGAGGAACGGGGGGCGGGGAGGAGAGGGGTAGGAAGGGGAAGAGGAGGAGGGGGAGGAACGGGAAGCGGGAGGAGAGGGGTAGGAAGGGGAGGGTCAGGAGGGGTAGAAGAGGAGAGGGAGGAACGGGAAGCGGGGAGAGAGGGGTAGGAGGGGAAGAGGAGGAGGGGGAACGGGAGGCGGGGAGGAGAGGGTAGAAAGGAGAGGAGAGGAGGGGAGGAGGGGAGGAGGAAGAAGGGGGGAGGAACGGGAAGCGGGGAGGAGAGGGGTAGGAAGGGGAAGAGGAGGAGGAGAAGAACTGAAGGCGGGGAGGAGAGGGATAGGAAGGGGAACGGGAGGCGGGGGAGGGGGAGGAGGAAGAAGGGGGGGAGGAACGGGAAGCGGGAAGGAGAGGGATAGAGGGGAGAAGGGGAGGAAAGGGGTAGGAAGGGGGAGGGAGGAGGAGGTAGGAAGGGGGAAGCGGGAAGGAGGGGGTAGGAAGGGGAGAGGGAGGGTAGGAGGAGAGGAGGGGAGGAGAGGGGTAGGAGAGGAGGAAAGGAAGGCGAAGAGGAGGGGGTAGGAAGGAGAGGAGGGTAGGAAGGGGAAGCGGGAAGGAGAGGGGTAGAAGGGAGGAGGAGGAGGGGGAGGAACGGGAGACGGGGAGGAGTGGGGTAGGAGGGGAGGAGAGGAGGGGGAGGAGGGGAGGAGGGGAGGAGGAAGAAGGGGGGGAGGAACGGGAAGCGGGAAGAGAGGGGTAGGAAGTGGAAGAGGAGAAGGGGGAGGAAGGCGAGGAGGGGGAGGAGAGGGGTAGGAGGGGGGAGGAACGGGAAGCGAGAAGGAGAGGGTAGGAAGGAGGAGGGGAGAAATGGAAGCGGGAGGGAGAGGGTAGAGGGGGAAGGGGAGGAAGGGGAAGCAGGGAGCAGATCAGGGAAACGGGTTGTGCCATACGACAATGAACACTATAAAATTCGTCCACTTCTATTTATACCATCCTAATAGGAGAGAAGATAATATTTACAGCAATCGTTACTATTAATCAAACGTATAGATAAATTACTCTACGATTATTATTATTATTCGCAATACCTCTTTATTCTCAAACTAATTATTTTCATTTTATGTAATTTTGTTCACGTCACGATCAGAAATGAATAAGCTGGGAGGGACATTCAAAGCCTATTATTTCGTTCTTCATAATACGTATTGAAATTAGGCCAAGCGGTAGTTAATTAATCCAAGCCTGGATTAATGAACTTAAAGGACCACAAAAAAGGGTATTTTTCCTTTTCAAAAGTTCTATTTACCTTAAATATTCGACATGGGGAATGGGAAGGCAATGGTTCATGGAATTTCGGTCCAAAATGTTTCGTCAAAAATTCTTTCTCTAAAGGCGTTATATTTGACATATTTTTGGAAAGAAAAATTGTTAGCTAATTGTATGTTAAGAAAATGCCAGTACTAAACCGTGGAATCTTTCAGCCTAAAAAAAAAGAAAAAAAAAATCGATCATTAAAGCATTGATTATTTCCTTTTATAGAAATATATACTGATATTTATTCGTTATTTCTCCCTGAAACTTGTTTGTTATCCTTATATAGTTTTTATTTACTTCCTTTTTGTCAATATTTTCCTAGCTCGCATCATCCAATAAGTGGAGAACTTTCTTTCCTTTTCTTTGCCTCCCTTATGCTAAAGCCCCGCCTCTTAATTAACTTGATTTATGTTTTCAGTTTTTCTGTTATTCAAGTTTTTAATTGGCTTTCCTTTTTTTACATCGTCCCTCGCCCTCATACACTTATATTTCCCACTTTCAAAGTTATCTATATTCTTAATTCTTCTTCATTCGCACTTCCTCTAGTAAAATAAATAAATAAATAAATAAAAATATGCCATGCTATACGAGAATCACTCTTGTTCTTTTTCCTTCAAAACGTTATATGAATTCAGTTTTTCCTCTTTTCAAAAAGTTTTTTATTCAAACGCATACGTCATTCATCTGAAAAGAAAAGGAGAAAAATGCCTTTTTCATTCTGTTATTTTATATTCTTTTCCTTCTGCTTTCATGTTTTTTCTTTCTCCTTTTATCTATTTATTTTTATTCTTCATTTTAAAAAATTTTCGTCGAGTCCTTCCTCCTCCAACGCCGTCCCTTCACCCCGCCTCCTGTGCCTGCAGGTATGGTCGAGTGGCACCTTGATCGCCAACGTGAGCGAGGACCGTCCCGTCTTCGTGGTGGAAGGGCTTCCTCCGTCAGCCTCCCTCAAGCTGGCCATGTACGCCGTCACGCCCCACGCCCGCTCCAAGCCGCTCTTCCTGCACGCCCGCACCCTCCCGCGGCCGACGCTCAGGCCTGTGGGTGAGTCGGTCTGTCTGCCTGAGGGAGGGTTGGAGTCTCAGTGGATATATGTTTATATATATTATATACACACACACACACACACACACACACACACACACACACACACACACACACACACACACACACACACACACACACACACACACACACACACACACATATATATATATATATATATATATATATATATATATATATATATATATATATATATATATATATATATATATATATATATATATATATATATATATATATATATATATATATATATATATATATATATATATATATATATATAATATATATATATATATATATATATATATATATATATATTATATTATATATATATATATATATATATATATATATATATATATATATATATACATACTTATATCTATGGGTGTGTGTGTGTGATCACTGACATGTAGGATCTATGGTAATAGACCTTTCCTCTCCATTCTCCCCCCCCCCCCCCCCGCCCACTCGACACCACCACTTCCTGCGACCTCCTCCTCGCCGCCCACGACCCGCCCTCCTCTCCCAGAAGTCTCCACCAAAGACACGGACGACGACGACGACTTCCTGGCGGAGGAGGAAGGCTTCTGGATAGGCGTGGGCGGGACGGTGGGCGGCCTCGCGGGCGGGTTGGGCGTGCTCCTGATCCTCGGGACGCTGATCGTGGTGGCGGTTCAGTCTCGTCTGAGGAGGAGGGGGCCGGAGGGGGGAGGACCCACTGCCCCAGCACCCTCTCGACGCCCATTCGGTGGCTTCCAGCGCGCACCTCGAGTCTCACACGCCCATGGATACTCGACCTTCAGGTGAGGGCGCTGGTCTGTTACGGATTCTTTCCTGTATCTACTAATGTGTAAGATGAATACAGTTTATGAATTAGTCACTCATGTTTTATTAGAAAGGAGAAAAAAAATCTCTGTCTGTCTGTCTGTCTCTCTCTCTCTCTCTCACTCTCTCTCTCTCTCTCTCTCTCTCTCTCTCTCTCTCTCTTCTCTCTTCTCTCTCTCCTCTCTCTCTCTCTCTCTCTCACTCTCTCTCTCTCTCTCTCATCTCTCTCTCTCTCCTCCCTCTCTCCCCCCTCCTCCCTCTCTCCCTCTCTCCCTCCCCCCTCCCTCTCTCCCTGCCTCTCCCTCCCTCTCATCCCCCTCTCCCTCTCCTCTCTCTCCCTCTCCTCCCTCCCCCTCCCTCTCTCTCTCCCTCCCCATCCCTCTCTCCCTCTCCTCTCCCTCCCTCTCCCTCACCCTTCTCTCCCTCCCTCCCTCCCTCCTCCCTCCCTCTCTCTCCCTCCTCTCCTCCTCTCTCCCCTCTCTCCCTCCCACCAGTGTACTGCGTGGAGCAGCGGGGAGGCCGGGGAGACGCCTTGGCTGGAGATACTCCGCGTTATAAGCTCTCCTCACTCCTCAGACTCCACAGGGTACTCTCGCTTCCTAAGCCTGATACTATGTGTGTCTGTATGATGTATCGAGGTGTATGGCTGAGGTAAACTGTCTGTGGTGTATTTTGCATAGCTGGTATATCTTATTATTATGTATCTGTCTATCTACGGCTAAGGTAAACTGTCTGTGGTCTATTTTGCATAGCTGGTATATCTTATTATGATGTATCTGTCTATCTATGGCTAAGGTAAACTGTCTGTGGTGTATTTTGTATAGCTGGTATATCTTCTTATTATGTATCTGTCTATCTAGGTTTTCGTAAAGTATGTGTTGTTTTATCTATATTTGATATGTCTATTTGTTTTTCATATGTGTATGATTTTATTCTCACTATAACTTGTCTATATCCAGTATTTGTATCCTTGATAAATATTTCATGTGATGTCTTATCTTAATATATCATATACGCCTGCAATACATAGAGCTCCCCTAATAAGATATGTCCCTAATTCATAACCAAACACCTATTTCTTTGCTAGTTATACTAAATAGTCTTATGTTGTTGAGCTGTCTGTTATTCATAGAGGTTCTAAGGTTTTCGATATATACAGCCAAGTACATACTTATTATTCATTTTTTTGGTAAAACGTATTTGTATATCTATTTCAAGATGAATCATTCTTCTTAACTATATCATCCATAGGTAACAGATTAATGAGATGTATCATACTACTTAACTATATAATCAGGTAACAGATCAATGATTTCACTTATCTTGACATTCTTTCTTCTTACAAATCTATGGCAAATTCCACTAGAAATTGCAACAATGGAACAGGTACGAAACATGTTTAATATCCTCTCGTTGTGATTCACAGGCGCCGTCGGTCATAGCAGAGGATGTGGGGCCAAGTGAGGTCAACTGAAAGGGGAGGTCAAAGGACGGAGACTGGCAGAGGAAGAAAACGGAAAGATGAAAGATTTTCGAAGGAGAGAGAGAGAGAGAGAGAGAGAGAGAGAGAGAGAGAGAGAGAGAGAGAGAGAGAGAGAGAGAGAGAGAGAGAGAGTATGCGTGTGTGTGAGAAAGACACAGGGATAGAGAGAGAGAGAGAGAGAGAGAGAGAGTATGTGTGTGTGTGAGAGACAGAGTATGTGTGTGTGAGAGAGAGGAGAGTATGTGTGTGTGAGAGAGAGAGAGAGATAGAGAGTATGTGTGTGAGAGAGAGAGAGAGAGAGTATGTGTGTGTGAGACAGAAAGAGAGAGAAGAAAAGAGAAGAGAAGTGAATAAAAAGAGGGAGAGAGGTTGTTTGACAAGATTTTTACAAACTTCAAATGTACATAATGGAGAGATGAAGCTCTTTGCATTAACAAAGATGTCTTACGAATCAGCGGATCAACGAAGTTTACCCTGAAAGAGAAGGTAAAGAAAACGAGAAAAAAAATTACGTGAGATATTCAGACAAAACATGTGCATTTATCAGAATCGTGTGGTTATAGTATATATATACAGAAAGAGTCAATAGTCAGTCAGATTCTAGAATTCGTGTTTATATGCGGTCAAGTAGAATTAAAAGAAAAGGAATAAATAAGTAAAGTGAAGAAGCCAAAGAATATTCACAAAGGAAAGACAGTTTCACGAACTCTCCCAATACTAAGCTGACCTTGGATTCTCATTAATGATCACGTGACGAGATCTGCGTTGTTCTAAATGCTATAATCTTAGTGCAAAGTGAACCCATTTTCGGGTGGAACAGTATTATTTTGGACGCCATGAGGAAATAAACTTTTGGAAACGTAACGGAAAAGTGACAATGAAAAGAAAGAAATTTTATGTCTACTTTTTTACTATACATGAAAATAGCCCAAAAAAAAAGAAGAAAAAAATGAATTCAAACTAAATAGAATAAATTGTGTATAAATATATATATATATATATATATATATATATATATATATATATATATATATATATATATATATATATATATATATATATAAAGTGAATGTAAACCTTCTAAGTGTTCA